AACATTACCTCGAGCTTAGATTTATTCTAGCCGACACAGTTATCAAGTAGGCCCATTGAGATTTTTGGAAGAACGCAGCCATCCTAGATATACGTATTTACAATTTTGAGATGATAAAGTAGGAGCAACCAACACAATACATATGTGCTCTTTCTCTAACATGTAAGCATTGTAAAAAAACATGTTGTAAGTATTGTTAGTGATATTAATTACAGCAAAGTTTTGAATGATGAGATTGCTATTGAAGTAGTTTAATGATGGATATTCATGTACATAGTGTGACATGGCAATTCCACCTTTATAGTCTTTTTTCTAAAACTAAACCACAACAATGTCTGTTGCAAGGCTTGTCCCTTGATCTACTTAAAAAAGATGATTATCTACTTCATCCTTTTATTCAAGTAGATAATCATCTTTTTCAAAAACATTAGAAATGTCCTAGTGTGGCACATTCTATTTTGGAATATAGAGCTAGACATTGTTGTGCAAAAAGTTGGTAATAAATTTACATTAGGCAATTGTGGCATCTTCGTGCATTGCCTTCTCAAAACAATATGCCTCTCAATATTGATTAGAAAGATCATCTCAAGATATTAAATATCTAATTTACCATAGGCATTGCATATATCTTAATTGGATTGATTGATTTAATATCTTATGATAGTAAAACTATTGATAGTAAAACTATGGAGTAAAAAAATGATAATTAAGACTATGCTTTATATCTAATTTGATTTCTTTTTACTTATATCTTAGATCCAACTTTCATAGGATCAAAAAAAAAAATTGATAAAATTTTAACAAAGGGTAAGGTGAATATATAAGAATTCATCTCCCAACTTCTAAGTTTCACATATCTTGAGAAACATGGCAATATTTGCCTCTTTAAATGTGTGGCAAGGTGCACCATAAGCAGTTCTTGTGTATAATATGTCAATCATCTTTTTTAGAATATTGTTCAATCTTATGATTTTTGCAAAGGTGGTAAGAATTATGGCTTAGATAATAATATAGGAAAGTCCTTGTTTGAGTAGCATAAGAGCAAATCCCACATCTTATTGGAACTTGCAACTAATGCACTTAGTCCTTCATGAATCCTAAGGTTAGCACATCTTATTGGTTTTGTTTTCTACCATCAAACAAATCATCGAAGTTAGTATTGTTTCTTTTCAAATTAGACCCCTATATACTTTGCATATTGGAATGGTTTAAGTGGAACCACATGCGTTGTCTTTCACCTTATATAGTAGTTGTTCATAATCAAATCTTATTCAAATTTTCTATGATGGTATCTTAGCAACATTTATTACTTGTTTTGTAAAAATCAATGAAATCATAAAAATTAATAAATATATTTAGGTAGTTATATGATATTTTTTTGTAAACCAAATATTATAAAATATTTAAATGTCCACTTTTCTCATTTGAATCTCTTATATCATCTAATTGAAGCCTTTAGCATTGCTAGACTTCCTTTTGGAATATCCAAATAAAACCCCTTATAAAATATTGTAGCACAAAGCATATTATTATCCCATTAACACTCACAATGTTCAAAATCTCTTATTAAGATAAAAAAAAAAAAACACCAAGTAACTCATCTATTCCTTAAATATATTTTTTAGTTTTTTAATATTTTTTTTCAAAGATAGAATTTATAATAGATACTATATCAAATTTATGGTGTATCCAATTTATAAAAAAATTATCACAAGTTAATACATATATATATATATATATATATATATTTATATATTTACATAGTTATGCATATATACTAACATTAGAATCCCTTGCTTAGTTTTGGGAACAATATGCAAAAGCAATGAGATCTTACATGATTATAGAGGACATAGAAATTAATTTCTAAAGGTTTTTGTTTATTGAAGAAGCATCCAAACAACAAATCTAAAGTAAAAGAATGACATATGTCACTTGTAAAGTGGATAACATACAACATAGCTAATATCCATGGAATGTGGCTCTTGAAGAGTCTGTCTCTACTTACCTTTATCATTCATTAAGACACTTGATTGATACAAAAATTAGCAAACAATTTTGAATGGATTTCTATATGAAAGAATGCTTGAGAAGATGTAATATCCTTTGGATGTACACATAAACTCCATTTTCTCTGTATTATATATATAGAGAGAGAGAGAAAGAGAGAAAGAGAGACATATAAAAAATAAAAAATAGAAGCTTTTGCAAGTATTGTATTTGATGCAAAATCCATGAATTGAGGTATTGATAATGTTTTCAGTTAGTTTTCATTGTTTAGATCATTTTACTTTTCAAACTGGTGTATTTTGAGAATTAAGCAATACAATGAAATAACCTATACCTTATAAAGTCAAATTCCTTGCATATATATATATATATATACATATATATCTTCATACAACTTTATCATCAAACATGTAAGTTTATATTCTGGGACCTCCTGTGTCACAATTGCCATTCCGACAGATCTTCAAACTCTTTGAAATAAATTTCCAAAGAGTGATTTACACTTACCCATGCATCATCGTTTCATTATTAATACTTTTATCACACTTTACAAAATCATGACATAGTTTTAATCAAGAATGAACATAAATATGAGTTCAAATAATAAGAACTTCAATGAATTTTTCTATGAAAGTTTCAAAGATGAATTAGCAATAAAAGTGTCCACTCAAATAAGCATGTACTGTACAACTAATATCCTTGTGTTATTTACACTGTTGGTGTGTTTGCAGTTGTGTATACATGGTGTAAATTTAAACCTCATAATATTTTACTTTTTCCTTCAAGTCATGCCATGGTTTGTTATAAAAATCTATTTTGATGTATTCTTTGGACAATTCAATAACGAAATATTTACCTTGTTGTGTTCCTAAATATCTCAGGGTCATAAACTATAACTGTATCATAATTTTTGTTTTCCAACGATCTCAAAAGAATCCAAAATTTAAATGTTGTTTGAATGAACACAAAATAAGAAGAACTGTAAGGTTTCAAAAACATTTTAGTTGATTTCCTATTTACTATTTAGAAAAAAATTATGTAGTGATTTAAATGTTGCATATAATTTTTCTTCAATACTTTGTAACCATTGATTTATTTACGGGTTTATTTATTTATTTTAATTTGTCACAAGTTACTGTATTTTGTCTTTTAATTGTATGAAGCAAGTCAGAACCTGTATAAAAAAATAAGTAAGTTGAATCAGAACGTTGTTTCTATTAAAATGTTACTCAACTTCATAAATTTGAGACTATGAGATTTTGGTTTAAATTCTTTTTTTAAAATAACAAAAATTACATACTGTCTCTAACAACCATTTCACACAAAAAAATTACCAAAATTTAAATATGATTATAGCATTAACCTCTAACTAATGAAGGTTGGATTTGGAAAACATAATATTCATCTAAATTTTAAATTCTCAAAAATGTCAAGTTTGGCGTGCTCACCGTGAGATAAACTTTTGGGTCAGCATTATCGTTTTCACTTGTATTCAATGGCTTCACCTGCATCTACATAAGCTCAGCACACATGAATGAGCGATTACGTTTAAGAACTTTTTTTTTTTGGAAATGAAAGAAGCGACCCAACACTCAACAAACTCAATTATTGGTTATTAAAAGAGTGTTTCAACAGTTATACTTGTCAACCATTGATACTCGTGGGTGTGTTTGTTGCACTAAACACTGATGGATGATGACGAAAGTTGGATGAATGAAAAATTTCGTCGTCGAGCCAGGCTGTCGTTGCAGCAGGGTAATTGGGCAGTCAACACATTGGGCAGCATTTAGTTATCCCTACTTGACCCGTATTCTGGACTTGCTGAGAATCTTAGATGTGAATTTAATTGTTTAACCAATCTGAAAATTCGAAAGGGTAATTTTTTGCAACTGGATTATGTGTCTCTCTGGAACTGCAATCTAACTCACAGTTCCAATGCACAAACTTTTCAATACTAAATCAAATAGAGAAATATATTTAGTGTAAGAGGACATGAAATTACATATATCTTTTTTTGATTTTAAAATTACTTGGTCATTTTATAAAACAATCTAATGTATATTAGTAGGATCAATGCCCAGTTTAAAATTAGAATTTATAATAGCTACAGTTACAAATGCTACAAGTAAGCAGTAGTTCACAACCCTCCCTCTTCTTCGCTACATACATACAGACAGACATATAAATTAGAAATTATTTTTCCCTCTTTATGAAAAGACACTTTGAAAAGAATCTCATAATTCTGCAAGGGTGGGCATTCCAAGTAAAACAGAAAAAAGAAAAAAGAAAAACAGCAACGGAAAAGGAGATAAGACAAGACTCATGGTGGCCACCAGTTAACAGAATTCCAAAATGGACAAAACAAAGTCAGTATTATAATAGACACATTCAAGAGTAGATGTTGGCTTTTAGATGAATCAAACAATCCCTCATACTTTGCACTAATATCATGAGCAAGTGAGAGAACAACAAATTGAGATGTTATTTTTAAGAAGTCATTTGTAGAAATACCACCACATGATATTTGTTACTCTTTTGTGCCGGATACTTGGCAGCAGGGAAACCTGGTATCCCATAGTGAAACATTATGTGGTCATTACCCCCCAAAAAGCAGTTATCAAAGGAAACAGACAAATAAATATTGAATAACAAATTATGCATTCATCCAACAAGGACGATTGTCGACAGCCCATGTCAGTGAATGTCGCTGAAAGCTCTGGAAGCCAACTTTGACAGCTAGCTGGGTAAAGAATTCGGCGTATTGCGCTAATAGAGCAGCCTGGCTCGCCGCTTGAACAGAGTGTGTGTATGTGAGAGAGAGAGAGAGAGAGAGAGAGAGTTTGTATGTGTGTCGTCGGAGGTATCCGGAATCATGCTGTCAATTCGAAGATGACAGAGCTAGCTGGAGTTGATGGGTCGGTGGGAGGGACAGATGGGAACCCTCCAGTGTCAGAGTAAGAAAGTGATCCTTAAGCAACAGGATTAGAGGGATGGTTTTGTCTGGATTGGATCTGGGGGCGGGGAGGGAGGGAGGTTGGAATTACGACGAGGACGACGAGGGGATGGAGCCAGCGATGAGCATCGACAACGGCCAACAGAGTGTGCTGAAGATCTCGTCCAGTCCTTTGGAGGAAAAGTCCTTGACCAACTTCCCTGGTCCCAGCAGTGCAAATCATGTGCCCCACACCCACTTTCCATCCACGCGCTCCGGCTCCGAAGCCATCGCCGTCTGGCGCGCCACTCTCCGCCAAATTTATGAGGCTCCTCAATGCTTTAATGGGTTTATTGCTAGTCCGCACTCAGCTGTTGTCCTGTTCTCCTTTCTGCAGCCGGCTTTGGTTTCTGGAACTCAGTCTTCTACGTCTTTCAAGCTCCAGGTGTTGTTTAGTTTGGGAGTTTCTTCTAAGGGTGTACTGTTGGAAATTTCGAGTTCGAGCTACTTGGAAGTGTATAGACTATTTCCTTCCTGGGATTTGCGTGGACATGGCTACTCCAGCCCCCGCTGCAGCACCCGAGGCTGCTGCTCCTGCACCCGTAGATGCAGGTATAGAACCGACCAACCACCTCCTGAGTGCATTTTGATAATGCACGTGGTGCATGCTTCCTCTAGCTTCTAGACCGCAGTCCGTTACTTGGCAAGTAGACAGACAAATCGTACTTGGAACCGGAAGTGTATGATTAGCGCTGTTGTGAAGTCCTGAGACGTGATTCACCTTTTCTCTGTAATCTCGTGGTGGTGGCTGTACTGAGAGAGTGGTACGATTGAGTCCTCGTGGGCTCGTCAGTTAGTCACGGAACTCACTGGGAGATTCCGCTACACAAACCTAAGAATGCGTTTCCTGATTTGAACATCAATTTGCTGTTGAATAGATGTGTACGCTACCGTGGTTGACTTCTGCGCCTCTGTTAATTTCGTTGTGCTTCTGCAGGGAATCCAGCTGCTGAGCCCCCTGCACCTGCCGTGGAATCGAAGGCCATCACAACGGGTATGCTAGACTTTCTGGAGGTCTCACCGTGAATTAATTCTTTGATTCTCTTCTAGTTACGAGTTTCGTATCTACTAGTCCAGGGTGAACTTAGAAGATTTTTACTAGACACTTTTGAGAGAGTTAAGTATATCTCCTCAGTCTGGAACTCAACAAATGTGGAGTTAAAATCCTGTGGCCCGGGATGTTACTGCCCGAGTGCTACGGTACAATGACTTTTTTTCAAGCGCTCTTCAGTAGTTTTCTTGTAGCTAAGATATATCCCCTCCGGATTGCAATGGTTTGTGTTGTGGAGGACGCGCTGTGATACCTCCCGGAAACCTGTTGATCCTAGTATGCATTGAATCACTACCATGGAGATGTCGTCGGCTTGAGTGCGTTAGACTTGATCTTGCAATATTGTGAGGAGGATATATGACCTGCATGCTCATGGGAGCCAACGAGCGCGTAAGAATTTTTTTAACACTTCGTGTGACGTTCACATCAGGTGCCCCTGCCCCAGCGGCTGTCACCAAGGTCGAAGAAGCACCTACGGAACCCGGCACTATCATTCACATGGAGAAGGCTACCCAAAAAATTGAGCATGAGTTGCTGTATAAAAGAGTGGAAACCTGGGAGGAGTCTGCGAAAGCGAAAATTGATAATAGGTGCTGCATTACATGTTCAGTCAAATAACAATCACCTCCGTAGCGTGTTCGTAGTAGATTCTGTCCTGCCCGACGCTCATTCTTATAATCTTCATCGCTCGTGTGAACTTACGTTGACAGAGTAACCATGTTTTACAGAATGTAATTCTCATTCGTAGTGCCTGGACTGTTCCACAGATTTAACAGAGAGGAGAAGAGGATCACTGAAGAGGAGGCGACAATGAAGACCAAAGCCGAAGCCCGCCTTAGAAAAAAAGAGGAGAAGCTTGAGAACTTACGGGCGAAGTACACGGAGATGATGAAAAATGAAATCGCAGCTGCCCACAAGGCCGCCGAGGAGAAGAGGGCCGTTAACGCTGCTAAGAAGGGTGAAGACATTCTCAAAACCCAGGAGATGGCTGCTAAGATCAGGGCAACGGGAAAATTCCCTGTGAAGTACGGTTGTTTTGCGGCCTAAAATCCTCGACTTTCATTTCTCCCCTACATCCATAGATTTTCTCTTAGAGTTATGGGATTTTATCAATATCAACCTGTGTGGAAAGAATGCGTTAGCAAACCCTATTTGACGAGATCGACTAGACTCTGTATTTTGGGAGGCAAGAAGGTCACGGAATCTCGGTGTATTGTAAAGTCGCATGTGAAAAACATCCAGCTCAGTCTAGTATAGGGACAAATGCCCATCTGCTTTTCCATTGCAGCTATCCTACGGTTAGTGTACGACATTCTTATTCCGGGTCATCTCTGCGTGTTCCATGACGAAGTAGTTTTGGGGGTCCTTAGTTGTAAAGAGTGAGCTCAACTGTCACAGTTGTAACATCTACACGCATTAATAAACATATAGAGGAGGTATTCATTGATATATGAAACAGTTTCCGCTTTGTTGGTTTGTTAGACTGTTATGTACGTAACTAGCAACTTCTACATTTAAATTGAGACAGCTGGGTCTTATTGATTCCGATTTGTCGGCAAACTGTGCAAAAGGTCCTTGAAATAACCATATTTTGAATTAACTGCTGTACAAACTCTAAAAATGGATAAATTCTGTGGATGAAAAGGCAACTGGCACCTTGTTTTTGGCAGTTTGATAGCTATGTATTCATAACAGATGTGGTATTGCTAAGCTTGTAAAAGATTGTGAAGTTGCGGGCTTAAAACGTACTACATGCGAGGAGATCGAAGTCGGTGGTGACTTCTGAAGTTGCACTTGATGCAGAGCTAGCAACTACTTGTAAACTACCTCGCAATAGAAATTGGTAGGCTCATTTTCCCACAAGCGGTGGTATTTCTTCAAAAGGTGGGAGTAGAATCCACGATGGCCCATCAGAGAAAGCCGGCAAGAATGAGAGACAAAGTGTGTCGTCACTTGCTCTCCAATGTATAGCATACAAAGCTCGAAACATTAAAATCCCTGTGAAGAAGACGATAGATGTAATAAACCGACCTTCGTATTTCAATTTAATTGGATCTTAAAATTCATACAGATTCTCTACTGCAGTCACCATTTTCGTTTCGTACTCTACCACTACCGTGTGTTGCAAAGGATTCAGACGTTTTCTGAACCGAGGGGAGCATCTGACAGGGTCTTCGTATATCAAACACGAAGATATAGTGACTACCGAATGTTTCAACCATTGTCAACGAGAAATCGCAACCGACTCTCGTCTGAGAAACTAGCAAATCGAAATGATTTTAACCCTGCAAAGTATTCATTGTTGATGTGTAATGCAACGCTACCATTCACAATTAAAGGTGTAATTTTCTCCGATGAAGCATTGAGCGTTGTAGTTTAAAAACCATCAACTAAATCGTTCAGATCAGTTCATACGAATGTAATGCATGGTTACAACTTGTTATTAATAAAGTTTTAGTTGCAGACACTGGATACGTAACTCACGTCTCTTTCACTTTACAAAGGGCAACACTGAAGCTTTCGCCTTTGTGACGCTCACTAGTCGACATATGACTCTATTTCAATTCCAGCAATCTCATGCTGAAAACGATGCATGCCGTCCACCAATCCCCATCGTCTTGGATGCTAAATTTGGAAAATGTCTGCGCATTTAACGGCTCGCAATCGAATGAATCATGTGGCGTTTAAACAAGTATTCGATTGTCTGCAGCTTGGATGGTTTTGCCAAAATTCTTCAGAGGGATTGAGGAAACATCTCAACATTGTTGAAAAATGTCTCTTCAATGACCTTCGACGATTGTGTAAGCTTCAAAGGCATCGTTACCTTTCGGAGCACCGAGTGGGTGGGTGTCATGCTTCTTTCAGAAAGTGATCTGTGACAAGTACTTGAACCCCACCAAAAAAACCACGCTATTTGCTTTGAATCGTTAAGGGTGAGACGTCAACTCCGAAAAAGTTTTAGGGCAGTAGGGATGGACATGAATGCAAGCACTGGCCTTTCATTTGAGACTTATGAATTGACGAACCTGAGTTCGCAATCGAGCAGAGTTTCTTTTCAAGGTGCAACTCTTCTTTCGAATGAAGGATTGCTTTTTTCACAAATTTCTGTGGCTTTTAAGATAGTAATACGCTTCTCTTCCAAAACTCATGCTCAGGAGGCAGCAAATAGGGATACCCAGTGTCCTGCTTTTTCAATTTCAGTAGGAAATCTGGTCTTGATGCCCCTTAGCTTGTTTGGTATCAGACAAAGCAGAGAACCGGTCCCGTAAAAATGCATTAGTTGTGTCTAGAGTCGGAAACATTACTACCCTTTGTAGTTTTTCCCACTTTCGAACATGAGTTGAAGAACGGAAGGTTGTGTGCTAAATCTCCGCCGATTGAACTTGCAAAGTGGGCATCAATTTCCAGATGCTGTGGACGAATGTGTCGATGAAAAGGCCCAGACCAAGGTTTTAGGTGTTGTTTCTGGAATGATTCGTGCAGTGCCTCGGTTGCAGTGAGTGTTGACAAGAGTGGAAAACAGTACAATCATAATTCAGGAGGTGGGAGGGAAGTTTTACATTAAGTTTGACCCATTTGTCCTGCCTGGGCTGTCAAAAATGGTTTAGGAAAACTCCAAGATTAAGTCACAGTTGCAACACAATTTGTTCGTAAAAATTTGTCGAGTTGACAAGAGTTGGTGACAACATAGTGCCGTGATGCCGATCCATCTGATCAATACTTGTCAAGAATGGGATAGCATCCCATAAATCCCCTTTGGATTCAATTTATCACAAAACTCAGCTTTAACCGAATGCATGTACAATAGAGTTTGAATCCAACCAAAAACAGTTTCTATGAAACAATCTTCAAATCGGATTCAAAACAGTAAGGTCACAATCAACATTCATAACGTTTATTATCAATATATGACTATTTTACATCAAAAGTCGACTTTTTCAAAACCCACCAGAGAGTCTATATTTTAGTATTGTTAAATAGTAAGTTCCATCTTCTCCTCATTTTAAGTTCTCGTATTATTTATATAATCATATTGTTTGCAAATCTCAAATTGTCCATCTCCATACAAAAGCATAGAGAAGATTAATCTAGGTAAGTGCAAACCTACAACCAAAATTGTCTACAGTTCTTCACTTGAATATATTTGTCATGTGTAGTCTTCGCGGTAAATTGGATCAGGCTTTTTGATTTTGAGACCTTGGGCAACATCATCCAAAGTGAATAGGAGGAAGACCCTGTTCAACACCGTTGGGATGGCTATACATTCTCTTCTCATTGTCTACATTATTTTGATTCAGTTGTAATGTTGTGCAGAAATCGACATGTACAACTTCGATTACTGCAACCAGCAATCGTCAGATGTAGTGCTCAGAGCTTGAGGAACACCAACTTGTAAATGTCGGGAATGTCTTTCACCTTCTGCAATATGGACTTGCTCAATTCCTCGTCAGTGCCGAAAGCAACAATTGCATCTTGACCACGTACCATTCGGCCCACACTCATGAATGCAATGTTCACGTTTTCCTCTCCCAAAATCGACCCAACCTTCTCGATCATCCCAGACTGGTCTACATGTCGGTACAAGATGATACTGCCTTCCAAGCTCATGTCTACATTGAAATTTCCAACCTTCAACAGATGAGGTAAGCTCATTTCTTTACAAACATTTCATACTACATTGATGAGGAACTCACCTAGTTGCATCTCTAGCCAACCTACCACTTGTCAACAACCTTCTAAAATACGTGATTTTTTTCCTTATCAATTCCAAACTAAATGTTTTAAGTAGGGATTTAAGGTTTAAGGATATTAGATTAATAGTTCTATCCACCTTCTTCCATCCACATCTATAAGAGAGATTGGAGACTTATCTATCTTGCGTTTTCGTATTGTAGAAGCTTATAGTATGTAAAAATTAGTTAAAATATATTATATGTTAATAAATCTAGATGTATGTTAGAATAGTTAATAGATTAATTTAATGAGAGTGGATTTAACAAACTTTATTTTGAGTTTTATTTATTTTTGATTATAACATTTCAAAAAAATTATAGGACCTAAATGTTTAGTGTGAAGCCTTGAGAGGAGATTACAGCTTAAAGAAGAAAATCTTAACTAGCAAAAGGCTTATTTGGAGGGATGAAAGCAAGGCATGGTTGGATGAAGGCAAGGAATGGAGATCTTTATTTCTATAGGTCGAAGGCTATGCCCAATGGACTTCAAAGAGGCTGCCCAAGGCTTTATTAGGAATTAGGGTTTCTTTTTCAAAGTCATTTGAGCTTTGGAAGCTAGGATCATCAAGTTTAAGTTTTTGGATATGGATTAGGTACAAGTTTTGTGTCATTTGGAATTTGTAACTTTTTCATCCAAATTCCAAATTCATTAAAAAGTATATGAAAAGCATGATGAAAGAAGTATTAAATTGTATCCAAATCACTCAAAATTTGTAAAATTTAACAAAAAAATAAGAAAAAGAGCACAATCAACAAGACAACAAAATAATCACAAGAAATCAATTGAAAAAAGGAACAAGTATTCTAATTAGTCACAAAAAAAGAAAAAAAAAAGAGAAAAAAAAAAACTAAGAAGTACCATTGGTGAGTTAAAATAGATTGAAAGGCACAAAGAAAATAATAAGAGAAAAAAATCAATTTGAATAAAATCTAATTAGTAATAACCAATCAGTAAAGAAAATTGAGACAAGAAATTTTAATAGAAAAACTATATTATGCTCTTCTAGTCGCACTAATGCAGATACAAGAAGAATCAAAGCATCATTGATAACATGTCTCTTTGTACACAAATGAATCACCATGACATTACAACACTCAGGTGATACCAACTAAAAGATGCCTATGCCAAAAACTCTCCAACAATAATTCTAACCATTGGCTATAATGAATAGATAAGGCAATTAAAAAAACATTATGACACTATTGCCACCACAAATTAAAGATTATTGGCTCTACCCCCAAAAATACATTGAATGATATGGAGCTCTTAAAATTGAGAGGAAAAAACATGGAAAGAGAATTTGATCATGCAAGAGACTCCTAATCCTAGCTACTTTGATGGTGGCAAGTTTCTCTTGATATTTGAATCATGACCTCCTCAAAAATCGACCACTAGATAATCACCAACTAGTATTTAATTGTTTTTATATTTAATTTGATATATCAATTGTATAGAGCATTGTATAACTATTAGATTCTTAACGTATTATATTTTATATACTATATATCTAATATGCTATTTATATTTTGTATGTATTATCCAACCATATATAAACCGTATTTATTTAGTATTTTAATTATACTCAACTCATCTTATAACATCTCTATATTCTATTAATATCTTATATTAGTAATATATTAAATTTTATATAGCTTTTATATAATAACTATTATATGATGGATTATATACTAAATATCATATAATATTTGAATCCAAA